GCTGAAGGCTTGGCTGTAACTTTGACGGTTTTTCACATGAATCATCATCACCTTCAATTTCCTGTTTGCATATTTTTAGCTTTCTACACATCTTGTACTTATTTTAGTTTGCTTCTTTWGTCTGTTCTGCATCTTGTTTTAGAAAATAAGAAATTGTAGTTAATGCCATTTGGATTCTCAAGCTGTGCTTAATGCCTTTCTAAATAGGTCTGTTTGGATCTATGGAACAGCACTGAGCTTTTTGCTAATGATCTTGGGGTGATAATTTTTCACTTCYTTTCTTTGGTCTGCTGCTACGCATTCTTTCTCTTCTGTCTTGGCATACGCACACAATGATACTAAATATATAATTACCATCCAGACAAATGCAAAGGTGAAGAGACAGCCAAATACTGTCTCACATTTAGTGAAACAGCTGTGCTTCAACATTATTTTTGCTTCAATTATTGAGATAAATATACCTGAGATAGCCGCCTTCTCCTCAACCACAAATTAACACACTTGGATGTGCGGAAAAAATATTGTCAGTTTCTGCATTATTCTCTCCTTTCATCTCCAAGTTTCTGGTTCTGTGCAGTTTTTAACAACCTTAACCTTATGCTTTGTAATGATGTACTGGGACTGACTGTACAGAGACGGGTTTGACAGAAGATATTTTGTGTTTGTTTTGAGATTAAAGTCAAAAGATCTAGATTGAAGATGAATATTCAGGGTAAAGTTAAAACATTGTTTTTTTAGGATAAAGTTGACTTTTGAATAAAAGAAAAAGTCAAAATAGTCCTTTAAGTCCTGTTTCAAGATAGCATACCCCATTGAGCTCACAAACCCCACAGAATTTATTATTATTCAGCTGAGGTTATTTTAGTGAAATACAAAATAACAACATGAATAGATTTATTTGAACAAGTCCAATGTGCTCTGTTTATTACTCCCAAAGAAGCATCAACACACCAGAACTCACAGAACACCTTTCAGTCCTTCACAATAAAAGTGAAAAAAAAAATGCTCTAAGATTGTCTGAACCTTATTAAAACAGCCTACGTTTTTTTTCTTTATATTTATTATTTTCCAATACAGATTTAACCTCTATGGACTTGGTAAAGTCATTTAAAAGTGGTCTACAGCTCCAGACTTAATTTATGTTTGCAAAAAAACATCTATATCAGTAAAACCTATTGGGAGGTATAAAGTCACCACAAAACATATTGCTATTGTAGGACTGTGTCCCATGGTACTCTGAACGTTTTTCACTTTATGCTCATCATTTTGACTTTATTGTCAACAATTTGACTTTATTAATGGAATTAAAAATCAAAACAAATTTTCTCTCCTCAACATATAAACACATTTTTTTTTCTCAGTGGCCCTCATTCTTTCCATATTTTTTTCAGAGGAGAAAAGTCTGTAGTTAGGATGATTAAAGGACAACAATAACTTTGTAAATGAGAATGTGTCAGTCTTTGAATGTACAGGAAGACAAAGTTCCTGAGCACCCTCAGGTAAAGAGGGGAAACACATAAACAACTCATCATGGTTTATTAATGCTTCCTGTCATTTGTTGTTGGCCAGTAGTTAATACCTCACAATGTTGCTTTGCATGTTTTTCCCATTAGTTGTTGCAATTTTGAAAAGAATACAAATTACTTGGGGCAGCAACATTCAAARCACACTGAGTCAACTAAATGATTTTCATCACTCTTTGGATTGCTTTAGTTGTTGCTTCTTGTACGAAAAGATCCTCTGAAACCAGAATGCTGATTTAAATAGTTATGTGTGCCTTCATTGACATTCCTGTCATGGTGACACTTAATCCCTCAGACTGTTTCCTATCCTGAAACATCATCTGAACATTTGCAAGCCATTTTTGCTTTGACAAAGCACTGCCAAAGGCTTAGCTGTGCATGGCTGAGTCTGGCTTGTTGAAATGCTTTTTACACTTCCTATCACCTGCAGAWTTTTTTTTAYTTTATTTTATTTTTTTGCTCCTGTAGTGTGATTTGCTGTATGGTGGGATCTCATCCACAGCATGGTTCATCTTAGGATCTTAGATTTCTGCAGTAATATTCAAGTGCCTTTTTATAGTTAMTAGCATTTCTTTTATTTATTTTTCTTTTCTTTTTTTCGTTCCTTTTTTGTGTTGCTTAGAGGATTCCTGACCACAATGACGATATGCTGCCATRGATATGATCTACATCTAATAAATAATGGACAAGCAGCAAATAATGGAATGCCAGTATTGCAGCATTTTAATGCACAAAGCAGATTGATGAACCAATGCTGCATGCATGCCACTGSAGGCACAAAGGTGGCTGCAAGTCAGGCGTTCAACACTCATTTTCTCTGTTTTCAGCACAGAGAGGTGTGATTGCAGGGTGCAGTGTGATAAGCTTCCTGAAATGACTTGTTTAACTATGAATGAAAAAAAAAAAAAAAAAAGAAACGCTGCCAAAGAAAAATAAAGGTGCTTCAGTTTGGGAGTTGATTATGCAGTTTGAATGATACTTTATTGATCCCATGATCCCATGAAGGGAAATTACAGTTTGGAGCAACCCGTTCAAGAGATATAGACAAAACACAGTAGTATGAATAAGTTTGAATAATTTTGTAACACCAACATGTGATTAACCAATAGACTGTTGTTGCAATTATAAGTTAATGGCAGACAACAATCACTGGGAAAAGTACCAGCAGCCTGCCTCTCAAACTGGTTGTTTTTGTAGTTACTTTTTAGAGTGCATCGGTTCCTGTCACATTATGCCTTTGTTGATGCTGCATAACAAACATGGCTCTTTTCTATGTGTTCTAACATTTATTTAATTGAATAAACATGATATCAGCTCATTTGATGAATGATTTATTTCATATTGTGGCATATTTGGAATCTCCACTGGAGTCCAAGAGTGTGATCTCAGAATCTGTTTAATCAGATTCCAGTAGTTTCAACATTTTTTGTTTGTTTTATGTTCCAATTCAGAATCAAAGCTGAGGGTGGGAACACTCATGACTATTGTTGTTGACAGTTAACATTGCATAGATTTTCTATGCCGATCGTGTCATCTGAGAGATGCTGTGATGTTGTGGCTAATTGTAGACATTTAAGGACCAGTTTTGAAAGCATGTCTGATAAAGAACCGCATAGTGGAAAACAAACACAGTGGAAAACTTCCCCATTAACAATATTACACAGGTTTGTTTCACATGTTTTAATTTTATTTTTTCACAAAAAAGTACAATCAATAAAGGCTAGCAAACATGCTTTTGTGTGTTTTTAAGAATAATTGATTTACATCAAGAGGTTAAAAAAATACAAGAACCCATACATGTAAATCATACTGTTTAATTTACCTGAAATTAAAGCTTCAGCTCACTAGAATTTTCTAGTGTGCTGATTGTTTCAAATCCAGTCGAAAAAAAGGAAAGAAAAACTACAACTAACCAACTCTTTATTTAACCTGCTGTTTACCTTTAACACTTGATAACAGAAAGTCAAGTGTTAAACATCAAACAGTTTCTCTGATAGCATTGAATTATGTAGAAATAGCATAAACCAATAGAATAAATAATTAAATTAAATAAGGGTAAGCTCCTGTTTCTCCTTTTTTCCCCTTAATTTAAAATAAAAATATTGTGAGCCATCAAACAGAACCTTCATATAGCCTATGGTAATCTAATAAACTGTTCAAGGTACATTAGTCAAAGTTCCATTTAATATTTGTGAAGCCTTCATTTAATTCCTTCCATTTCCCCCTGTGATATAATCATTAGAACTTTATATTGCTTGAAATTGTTAGGATGGAAAATTATGAGCTCATGACTAAAGGAATAAATTACTCAGCAATTTTCTGTCGTTTGGCTTTTGTCTGCTTTATGGCTTTTTCTATCTTGATATTTCTATTTCCATATCTGTTTCCTTGTTTTGTTTCATTTTTTTCTTTAGGTTATAAAGCTGTCGTTTGAAGAATTTGATTTGGAGAGAGGATATGACACGCTGACAGTGGGGGATGGCGGCAAAATCGGAGACAGTCGGAGGGTGCTCTATGTGTAAGCACCAGTTAATTATTTCTGGCCTATAATTGGCATGCAGCTGTAGAGAACAAGCTAAATGTGGCAATCATAAAGAAAATTGGAGACCCAGAGGCAGTATTTTTCAGGTATTGCATGTGTTGGATTGTTCCAGTTCCTTTACACTGAATGGAAATGTTCAAGTAATTATGGTCCAAACTTTTCTGTGTTTATGAAAGAACGAGAGGATTATGGCACAACTGTACAGGYAATGCTTGCTAACACTGTGTTTTGCATGTTTGTAGACTTACAGGCACCAGCGTCCCTGATCTCATTGTGAGTTTGTCCAATCAGATGTGGCTACACCTGCAGTCAGACGACACCATCGGTTCTGCAGGGTTCAAGGCGATTTATGAAGGTACAGACACATGTTCAGTTATTTCAGGAATTTAAATTGCTCTTTTTAACTTTCTCTCAGCATTCTACACWTACTGCATAAACTATGTACTGAAAATACAAAACGTAAAGACTTTAACAAATGAAATACCATGAGCCTTGTATAATTTTTGTACACTTTTCTTTTTACAAAAATCTAAATTAAACAGCATTTATGTTCATGGCTTGAGCTCCTTAAATGTAGACAGATGTTTATTTATTTATTTATTTATAATTAGAACAGTTAAGTTATAGATTTGCTGTTGAATTAGGATTTGGGTTTTAACTCATTCCAAGACATGTTAAGCTTTTTTCTCCTTAAAATCCATTAAGTCTAGTTTTACTGGTGTGCTTTAAGGTCATTGCCTTCTGTTCAAGTGCTGAATCAGCAATAGGTGTCAGTTAGTTTTTATTTTTCCTCTCTTGAAAAACCTCTGATTTTGTGCTTTTCTCACATCTGATTTTTAGAAAAGTTCATTATTTTAAATCTGGCTCATTTCTGAGTTTTCATAGTTGCAGGCTGTGTTTTTTCTTGATTGCCAAGATGTTTCATTTTAGTTTCTTCTAAACAAAATATCTTTCTTTTTATTKTAGTTGAGTTTTCCAGAAGACTTTTACAAATGCCACTGTTCTATAAAGGTGCACTTTGTATATTGTGAGGCTGTAAGTGGTCCTGTGGGCGAGCACTCCAGTCTCTGTTATGGATCTTTACACCTTTTCTCTGGGTTCCCTTTGATTACTGCTCCCTCTGACTGAAYCCTTTCTTTTATTTTCCATAAATTCTGGTGAGCTTCTATTAAATTTTCTCTAGTTCAAGTTTTCTTCATTTTCTTAAACTGGCTTTAATGATGTTCTTCAGGCTATTTTGAGTTTCTTTTCCTTTTATATATTATATTCAAATCCTAATACTTCATCTTTGTCCCTGAACTCAGTGTCTTGTTCTTCACTGTGTTTTAAGTTTAATGATGCCTCCTAATTAGTGGTGTTTTAGACTCAGAGGGTCTTTACAGCACATGTTTGTATACAATGAGAAAGTGTAACAAAGATGGGATAATTCCACTGAACTAATTATTTAACTGCTAAGGAAAAAAAACAACAATAACACCAGATTGTAATTTAGGCCTTCAAAACACTGGGCAAACACTGTTATCTAGTAATATATATATACATACATACATACATTTATAT